CAAAAATGTCAATGCAAATAACATAAGTGAGAAACAAGTATGTGATAAAGTGGCTATAGAATCAAAAGAAACAACACCTCCCACAGACACTGTTGTTGTTGCGCCAGCGAATGAAGACAACAAGTGTTGTAACATCGACTCTAATGCGAATAGAGAGTCTTCGCGTAGTGAAGATTCCCTCAACGCTGACATATCTAATGACATTACATCTAGTTTAGCATTCGTACCGAGCAGTAAGAGCTCGCAGATGGCTCACGCCGGAGATGACACCAGCGACGACACTTCGCCTTGCTCGACCGACTACCAGGAGGCATCAGCTCTCGACCTGGCGCAAAGTCTCTCCAGTTGTGGTGACAGTACCGACTTTTCTCAAAGCAGGGACGACGTATCTCCCATACCAGAAGCACAAAATGACACCACTCCAATTGTTGACAAAGTCGAAGCAAACCTGCTTAACGGACCCCATGTTCAGGATTCAGAGAAAGCTATGGTCGAAGTGCCACTCAGTCAATTACCGTCCATTCCTCTTCAGGACCATTGTCCGTTGTCTAAAATACTTCCGGTAAATAGCCTGCCAAATGTGAAGTCCATAGATGATAATTCGAAAAAGACGCAGACCCAAAAACCTCTGGTCATCGCAGAGCCCGTTGTAAACAAAAACGATAAGCCGCCTACCGCAACTAGTAGCTCCACTCAAGCGGGTTCTATTAGTGTTAGTAACGTAAGCGCTGGCGCTTCTAATGTGTCAAACAAGCATCCCGTGCCTCCCTGTGTGCCGGCGGCGTGGCTGGCAGCAGCTCCAGCCGTCGAACGTTCAAATGTACAGAAAAATGTGCCTCAAATCTGCATTCAGAACGCGGAGGGCCAGGCGAAGGCTGCGGATAGGGGCCCCCGGGCAGGCCAGCAAGCGGCCGCGAAGGCAAGCGAGGCGGGCGCTCCAGACCCCCAGCCGTCCTGCTCCTTTGCGCCGCCGCCACCCCCTCACAATACACAGCTCAAACCTGACAAACAACAAAAAGAAGTCGAGGTCAGACATTTTTCAATTGATTTAGGCAATATAATTCGATTGATGTTTTCTCTACTTAAATAAAATCAAATAAGTAATCAAATTAGATATGCGAACTTAATAAAATCAGCGAATGCGCAATGCGCTGCCAACGGCACATTGAGACCGTTGCGCATCTATTTTAACATTATTTTAGGTCAGGGATTCATTCAAAACGTATGCTTTGATTCGCGATACTATAAAAATCAACGGACCTCGGATTTGTTTAATGCTGTGATATTGTGTTAACGTTGTGATTTTTGTCGAGTTTTCATTATTGTGATAACCTGCATGCGATATCATAATTAGTTACTGCTATCTCTTAAACCAACAAATAATATTAATATTGATATTGCCTGTGTATAAACAATGTCAATTAATTGTATTCATTTAAACAACCCATTAACACGATTCCGTATTTCATTATCGCGTGTGTATCGCGCACATATACACATGCATGAAGTCGATAAACAATTTGGGATGTATAACTGACGGAAATAGCAGCAGCAGCTGGCGCGATCTATGCGATTCAAATGGCGGCCGCTAGATGGCGCCACGCACCGCGCAAAACATGAACAAGCCACAGAAATAGCCGGGATCACCTTCACCTAGCCGTGCTACGGGAGACGGGCGGGAGCGGGACGGTGCCCACCAAATAGTTGAAGAATTACGCGCATCTAAAGTATTCATTCCTGATACAAATCATACCTTGTTTACTTATTAAATTTGGGATATTCTACTAACGTTTATAGGTAAACAAATGAACTACCAAAACATACCTACCATTTTGGTTTCGGTTTTATTTGCCAGCGTCACGCTGATCTCTGCGTTACGACCACCAATAAGCAACACTCACGTGTTACGCCATGCAAATAGGCGCCGTTATCGTATGAGGAAAACATTGCATCGTCAGTCGGCGCGTCCACAACAATGTAATAGCGGTGGTATCACAACAGCACGCTGTAGGCACGCTAACACATTTGCCTAATCGAGACTCATTAGATGTCGGCCGCGAGCAATTGCCTCGAATTGTCTGACTGATACTAAATTCCTAAATTAAATCCTGCTCCAACTGGTTCTTGTCGGGTATACGGTGACGTGGACCGTAGGGCTTATGCACAGCAAATATAAATGCGTTACACAGATCAAGATCGATCGATAGATCATTTTATAAAAAATAATAATAGGTAATGTAAGCAACACTGATTTAATATATCCCTGCATGGACATGGACATGGCGCCTGCAAAGAATGTCACATTACATGATTCATAATTTAAAAAATGCTAATAAAAGTTGTAAGTGATAAAATAAACAATTTTACACTGATGACTATTAGTTGACATTTACACAGATTTTTCCACTTCCCCATATTTCGTGTTGTTAATAATTGTTAAGGAAGTGCTAGGTTTTTCTGCTTTTTTACTAAGTTATATTGATATCGCCGGATCGGTAAAACCGTTTAAGCTTTAGCTATAATTTACCGCAAAATGTACCGAGCGATTATTAGATTGAGTTACATTGTAACATACATTGATATATTGTATATCTTTTGTGATTATTTTAACTTAATTTTTTTTTATTATTATAAAAAGTTTGGATCGATTGTTAGAGGTATTGAGAAATAAATTAATTGTCAGTTCACAGGTAACTTTATCAACTCGCACTGATTGTTGAACTGTCTTATGAATGTCAAAGTCTAGAAAACTGCACATAAAATGAACAACACTAAAGGTTTATAACACATCCATAAAATGTTACTATTTTCTGTAGCAATTTCTCGTATTTTTTAATCATACTAACATGCGAAACTTAGAATACTGCCTGTTTAAGTTGCAAGCAGGCAAAGACGACATAGACTAGAGTTTCTTACATTCACAACTGTACAATAAAAGTAACATAGTATATGCACAGGTCAAGTTCACACGATAATGGAAAGCTGTTAATCCACGGCCGGCTTGGACGTCGAGATATGGACTGATTAATGCGGTGAACGAAGTCTTGTAGCCATAGCCCACCTGTCTGTTAATGCTCGACCCTTCCGGAGACCTTGCCCTCACACTAATGTGCCAAGCGCATCGATACGTTGTAACTTAGAAACGTCCGCTAGACAAACTTAAGGACTTACGTGTGCATAATAGTCGCAAACATAGCACACAGCTTAGTCAAAAACACACCTTCACCTTATTTGAAGATTAAGAAGTCAAGTCTTATGACAAAGCGAGCTTAGATGTTAAACAGTAGTTAAGTAACATTATGATAATCTTTAAACTGAGAGTCATTAGTTTAAAAGATAAATCTTCGGAATTGTTTTGGTGCATGTGTTATCTTATCTAACTTTAAATGTTTTTAATTACTTGAGTTGTACAAAACTATGACAATAAAAATGTTATTCTCCATGTATTTTTTACCTTAAGTTTTCCCGTAATTCTGGTACAAATTACTACGTTATGTTGGTACACACATATCAAGGACCGCAGTGTCAACGTCCGCGCGTCCGTGTGATGATATAACGATTTATTTAACTGTACCGGTTCAATAATTAATGTGAACTCGGCCTTATCAACTCTCCCTTGCTAACTTATCTTTTGTTATTTATTTTTCGTCTCTGTTATTAAATAATTACCAATTTATCATTGTAGTATCATAGTATCATCTCCTTGAATGAACACGCAGTCATTGCGACACGCTATCACAGTCCGGTTGAAATTGGTGTCCAATTTTACTGTTGATTTAGTAAGTAATGATTACTCACAACTGGGGATTCATATTTTGAAATTACTACTATGTTAACATTGAATATGTTAAATACTTTTGCAGTTATAACTTACATTTTATTCTTGCTAATATTATTAATGTGAATGTTTTGATGGATGGATGGATGGATGTTTCGTTGAAGGTATCTCCAGAACGGCTGAACGGATCTCGATGAAATTTGGCATACATATAGAACATAGTTTGGAAGAATACATAGACTACTAATTATGTTTTTTTAATACCTAGCGAACGGAGTCGAAATGCGACTGATTAGTTTGCACTATTTATAGAAATCTTAAAGCGTGACGACCGCGTGTCTCAACAATCGGGTGACTTATTTATCCAATGATCGGTTCCGGGTTCAAATTCGAACCGAAACTAACGTTTGTACAAGTCATTGGCTGTTGACCGCATATCCCCGCCCCTGTCCGTAATAAGATAAAACTATACTGATAAAACATGAACATAATTCGTTTTCGATAATATTTATTATTTACATAACTAAACAAACTATGATGCTGGTGTGCAATCATCGCTTTTATGATAGATTAGTTGTCAGTTAGTGAAAAATGAAACTTATGCTTTTTAAATATTTTGAGTCCTACTTACACTAATAGGGTATTAAATACGTATTTCTTTAAATTGTAGTATTATGATACTTGTTAGGGCAGAGCACGTGTCGCGCGAGAACAACGCGGATAAATCCTGTTAGAACCGAAGTTACCATTAAATTGTTAGCGTCGTTTGCTTCGCTGTCTTTTAATTGGTTTGCCGCAAAGTTCTGTCAGTCGAAGTTTAGGAGCGAGCTAATACAAACGTACTACAAAATCGTTTATTTATTCCATATAAAGTAATATTGTAAAATATAATCTGTGTACGAAATCACAACATCGGTTGGTGTGTGCACGCGGCCGCTTACGCTAGCACAGTCGCGTCCCCGGCGTGCAGCCGCTCAGCCGCCTCGCGTCCGTTGTCACGTGTGTGTACCACTGCAAGCGCTATGGCCGAGCTGGCCTTGAAGTCAGACCGTGTCCGCGAGCCCCTGCGCTTCTCATCCTTTTACGAACTCTACAAGCGATTTCTCAAAGACCACGGCTGCAAGTGGCACGATGTCGCAAAACTTCTTAACATTGTCGCCGAAGTACTTTTCGATGTGGACGGTGCCTTTACTCGTATCGCAGGCAAGGTCAGTACTCCACGTAGTTTTCCCTATCATGAGAATGTTATAAGAAAACATTTTACTAAATATGCCACAAATTCTTTAATTGCAATCGAGAATCTTGACCGCTTTATTAAAATTTCGAATATTTTTTAATTGACTTAGTATAAGGGATATGTATGTTCTTTTTTAACAAAAGAAAAAGGTTGTAAGGCCTGTACCCTAACGGTATTACGGACGGGGTCCGCGGACCAATAGCAAGCCGGCGTGCTTTACCTGTACCCCGAACGCGTTTAGCGATCCTTGACGCATCTTAACAGCTGATAGTGCATGGCGGACCGTCGTACAAACTGCTATGAAACAAATCCAACCGCTGTTTGTGCACCGTTAATCACATATTAACTTTTCGTTTTTGTTTTATGTTCTGTGATTAAATCATGAAATCGTTTAGTTTACTTAAAGTGGTTAAAAAAGTTGTTGATTTTTTTATACTAACATTGACAGATGATTTCGGATCCCCTGAGGTAACATATGTTATATAAGCATCTTGTGTTCCTTTTTCTAGTTTGTAAAATACATGCATTCAATAGTGAACATTTGAATATATTGAATAAATATAATGTGTGAGATGCCAGATCTATAGAAACATTTGCGGAGTAAAAAGTGGTTGCAACAATTTTGACTCGTGCAAATACAGCGCGGGGAATGTTTGATATTTCATGAGCGTTTCCGTTACGTTGCGTCGTACGTCGCCTCGACTGACAACATTGTGCCGATACAGACGTGTCCATTGTGAAGCTGAGCACGAGTTGCTCTCAAGTTTGATCGCTGTGAACGCCGAGATCGATCAATATAACTATGGAACACCCGACGGAGATAAGAGAACGATGAACAAATAAAATTTTGTTTACATTATAATGATAAGAAGACACGAAGAGTAATCATGATTTAGAGCAATTTTACATCACGCTTCTATGTACGACCGTGCTATGAACAGATAAGAGTGGACTAGTTCATGATTATGCTAGATCTATCAAGATTAAGACTGACCCGAAGCTTCACATGCGATAGCCAAAGTGTGATGATTAATAACAAGTACGCGTGGAGTTGTCAGTGCGCGCACGCATCGAATTGTTCACCCACTAACCCATTTACTGAGCGCGTATTGACAGAATTGTCTTGGCGCTCGGGCTCGACGTTCGGAGAAAGGAATCGCACCCAACGCCGCCGATATCGTTGATACTCATCATTATGAATACGTCTACCGCAGAAAAAAACAAATGTTTTTTATTATTAGATCGACTAAAGTTGCTACTTTTGAATGCCGTGAAACATTAGGAAGATTAATATTAAGGTAAAGTAGTTACGACTATGTTTTTGTGGCCGTCTTTTTTTGACTTGTATCTGTTAAATATTAATAGCGCCTTGACATGGTTTTCAAAAAACATAAGTCGGTCTTTATAGTCATTATCATATTGAAGCAAACTTTAAAGAAGTCGATTCCCTGTATACAAATATCTTTAGGTGTATATCAAGGCGCGTATGAAATGGCGAAGCAGCGGCAGCGGCTAATGCGACGAAATGCGCACGCGGCGGCACCTCGGAGTGCGCGGGAGGGCGCTCCCACGGGTTGCCGATATTTTTAGTCCGCGACCATTACTTGGCACCGACGGCCGCACTCGACTGCGCTACTGATCTTTCTGAAATCCCGTCCGCGCTGCGGTACGCTCCCGGTTCAGAGTACGCCCAGTATAATATCCGCCGGCGAACTGTACGCCTCCTGTACCACACCAATCCCGGCCCCATATAAACATGTAACCCCCCTTGCGTGTTGAATCATGATGGTGGAAAAATGTTATGTGATGTGTATATATATATGAATACCCTGGTTGAATTGATTCGGTGTTGTAATTAGTGAGTGCGTAAGAGAGATGGCAGGCTCGAGCGCGGGCGGCGCCAGCACGACCAGCCCGCGGCGTCAGCGCTACGGGCGCTCCTCCACCTCGAGCGTGACTCAGTTGCTGTCAGATGGCTACTCCAGCTTTATCAACCGGCTGACGAGGCGCGGACCTTCCGAGAAAAACGACGCCGTCATCGATACTAAGCTTCACACCGCACGAACTCGTTACGACGACAAATTACTAGCTAATAAAAACTCTGCCCTCGCCAACGTTCGTCGGTATGAAAACAATAGCCATATCTCTCCTTACACATCTCTCACGTCCGGATTGTCCGGCTCTATGCGGAAGTTGAACGACGAGCGTGCGTACCCGAGCTACCTCGCGGCGACCAAGTCTAGAATCGATACATCACCTCTACATACGAGCTCCGGTCTTAGCGCTCTCGCTCGCAGTGACTCATTCCGCAGAGCACATTTGAAAGACAATCAATCATCGCCGTTCACCAAACGATACCCTCTCAAGGAAGCAAACAACAATAATATAGATCCTACACTTATGCTCGGCAGCACGCGCAGTCGTTTAGAAGATAAGTATTCCTCCGTGCTGGATAAAATTGCGATACAGAAGAAAGAAAGAGCTCGGAAAGAGAAAGAGGATCGCGATAAAACTCTGGAACCAGAGCCGATAGTGCCCCGGGGCCTGATGAGAAGTCTCACGACCGCCGTGTTTGGTGAAAATTCTTTCAAACGAAACAATTATTCGCGCGAAAAGACCAGAGATAAAACCCCTTTCAGAAATACGGCCGACCGACGATTATCGTCGGGACATAAACACGGCGATAGGAACGACTTCAAAAATGGCTTCGATGTCTCTATCAGAGATCGTCTCGGGAAGGACAGAGATAGCGTTTATCGTCGACACCAAAGGAGATCACTCCGAGCGGAAAAAAGTGACGAGAAAAGAGGTGGAAAGTTATCGTTGCATCCCGTTGATATTAACATGCAGCCGGCGGCGCGCGATCTCGTGTCGCCCTTGCAGCAAGGTGGCGAGGGCAAGGCCCACGCGACCAGGACCCCGGCTTCCTCGCCCGCCAGGGAGACCGGCCGGCAGAAACAGATTTACTTTCCGTCCAGCGACGAGGACGACGACAAGACACCCGTGGGCGACCGCGCGCTTACCGAACGCGAAACTAGACGAAAGGAAATACAAAGTCTCATCATGAAGTACGCACATTTAGATGAAGTGTACGGCCGTATAACGGAGAAGGAGAACAGCGGCGCGGGCCCTATAGGGAACTCGGCACTTAGGCCGGAGCCCCTGGGGGTGGGCGACGTGGTGGCGCTGCCGCCTGAGATGCGCGCGCGGCGCCGCCCCCAGCGGCCACGGCACCTGCTGCGGCACGCCGCCACGCCGCCTGTAAGCACTCTTCCTAACCGCCTGCGCCTGCACCTGCGCATCCTCCGCCCACCCTAACAATGTACACCCGCTCCGTGCTTCTCAATATACGCTAACAGATTATTATGCATACAAGTGAACTAAATTAACATCACAGGAGACTTAAGTAATATAATAAAAATCGTAAAAACGAGCGCAGTAAATATTATATTGAATGCATGTATTATCCAATAATTAAAAAATAAACGAAGGTAGTTCTATATACGTGTAGTGTTCATTTTCAAAACTAAATTACAGCGGTAGTTTTCGAAAGACATTTACACAATTGTACTGCTACTAACAGTGTGTTTTCGACTTAGGTAGAAATGAGGCGATACAAATCTCTCTGAGATGATAGTGCATGTGTTCAGCTTATTTGTGCGTGTTGTTACGGACAAAATGTTTCTTTATTGTATAAAAATATTAACGAGCGCCGGTCGCAAGCGAAGAAGCTCGATCGTCTCGGGCGATTCGGGTGTTAGTATTAGTTGCAATGTAATTTACTAAGGGCTCGGGTGGACACTGATTGAATGTCGTCGGTGCGTGTGGCTGCGCTTGCGAGAGTGGCGAGAGCGAGTGATGGAGTGGTGTTGATCCGTGATGAGTTGGACTGCAGGCTGGCGCGACCCGCAGCGCCCACCCGTCCGCCCTCTAACAGCATGTACGACACACATTCCAATTGTCGCTTGTCTGACGGGCAACCGTTCCATTCTGATTGTTGGGTACAACACGACTCGGGTCCGTGGCGATCGCGTGGCGCTCTCCGTGGCATGTGGCGTGTGGCGCGTGTGGCGTGTGTGCGGGGCGCGGGCGCGGGCGCGGCGCGACGACGATGGCTGCCCCGACCTGGCCGCACTGCCCGCCCTGCAGAGCTCCCGGGCGCGCTCCTCCGTCAAGGACGACAAGGACGGACACCTGGTGTACTGGCCCGGATATGTCATGGGAGCGAGATGTTCGTGTCCACAACATAACTTTACCATACCCCCACCCCACCCCATAGCTACACCATACATAAATTAAAACAAACATATACACACACACACACCCCTCCCCACACACTTACACAAAGACAACGAGATGTGCATACAATCAAATTATGCATCATATTAACCGAAACACAAACAAAAAACAACTCACACTAACAATTGACAGTTTCTTAAATGTGTAACTTTCTCAGTACATTCAAGCCCCGTTGCAGACATTCGTGTTGTACGAAGATTTTTCCACGCATTAACTTTATGCTTTTAATTTTTTTGTATTTTTCTTTAGTATGAAAAGAAATCATAAAAATATTACGACTAATTAAAAAAATTGACGCTGAATCAAAATAATTTACTTATTAATTTTGCACCCCGACTGCTTTTATAATTTTTTTAGACTTTCTTTTTTCGTAGGATTACGTGCTAATAAATGTGTTGTGATGTGAGACAAGTATCCCGACTCCATCACAGCTGTTGTTATGTGTCCAGTTGATTCATTATGTACTCGGTTACTTTCAGATAAGATCATCGACACTCTCGGTGAGGGCACGTTCGGAAAGGTGGTCGAAGTCAAGGACTTAGAAATGTAAGATATATCACTTTTATTTTACATCTATAATAATTTAAAAAAAAAACTTTTTTTCAGGAAAAACTAATGTATTTAGCAAACAAGCAAATATTTTTTATTATCAGTTTTTCGGTATTAACACCCAGAGTAATCAGGACATAAAATATACAAATATATGTATGTAATAATATTAAAATGAGGATATTAAGAGTATTTCCTCGTTTTGATGGAATGAGTTCGCACTTGTTTGCGACACAGATTTTGTTTTGGCAAAGACGTGCGGCGGCGGACGGGCTTATTGTTCAAGCTCTATTTTCATTTGTTTACATTATCCAGTCTACCTTCACTAGCCATTGCTACTAAATACACGACTTTGTATAACTTTTCATATTATTTTTCCACGATTTGATACTAAATCTATGCCTTTTTTTAAATAAGAGTTAGCGTTTTATACATGTATTGAAATACATTTTTAAGGTGGGATTTCACTACCAAAGCACTTGTAAAATCCAGTAAATATATTTAAAAAAACCTAAATTTGAAACAAAGTTTAGTACAGTTTTTTCCACAGTGGAAAAGTACTGTTATCTTTGTACTTTATTAATATTTTTTTCTTACTTTTTCAGGGAGCACAGAATGGCTCTTAAAATAATAAAAAACGTTGAAAAGTACAGAGAGGCTGCAAAGTTAGAGATTAATGTATTAGAAAAGTTGGCAGAAGTTGACCCCGACTGTAAACAGTAAGTAACTCATTGTTTGTATTTATTTGGTCCATGAAAAAGTGATAAACATCCGCCCACTTTGATAAAATATCACATATACGTCAATAGCTAGTAGCAAATGAAACGTGCAATTTATTATGCATTCGCTTTAGCCTCACGTGCATTTAGGAAATAAACTACTTCGCTTTTTATGTTAACATAATCATTAAATTAAGGTTCTAGCAGTCAAGTATATATCATATTAGCCTCTAGAACGACAAGGCATCCTAACCGGTGGCCAATCAAACTAAATTATGACAGCTCACTAGCGCCCCCATGTAAACGTCAAAAATGTAACAATATCCTATTTGTACTGTATCTGTCATTCTCTACGTCTAAATAGGTTTTATATGTTTTCTGACAGAACCAACCGCGATATCATCGCATCTTTCATCGGTTCTGATATCCTTGTTTGATATAATCTGCCTAAGTGAATTTTGTCCGGTTAGTTTAGTGTTATTGACATTAGGAAAGATATTTTGCGCTGGTACGATTATGATGGTGCGGCGGTGTGCGGGGCGCGGCTGCACCACTGTCCGCTGACCTTGCGTGTTTGTAAGCGATGTGACGGCCGGCACTGC